TTTCCAGGAAATCTACAGGATCTGTTGTTCCATCAAATTGCAAATTCCAGTGATAGGTGTTCAATACACTAGAATAACACAGGACAGGAATTTCAGGACTATCAGGAGGTATGTCAGGACTCTCTAGAGTTGTTTCAGGATCATCCGGATGTGTTTCTGGACTACCTGGAGTTGGTTCAGGACTATCTGGAGGCTCATGTGGTTCAGGAATATCTGGTAAATCTGGAGGCGGTTTCCTCACAAGATTCTCAGGCCTAAGGGCTAATATTTCAGGACCTTCCACCCTCAGGAACCACATCAATCGGTTTTGTAGCATCTCCACAGGACCTTCAGTTTTTAGACCATACATCTCTAATTCTCTTATCAATTCGGATTCGTTCAGGTCATATACCCAACTCACTCTTGGGTTCAAACCTGATATGTGCTCTCGGTAGCTCTCTGGACCTGGATTCCTCGATTTTTGGAGGTTATCACAACCTTTACATATATCATCAACTATATCAGGGCCTAACATTTTATTCAACTGGTTAAATGAGCTGGAATGTCAGGATGATTATCAGGATGAACTGTATTCGGAAATTAACGGATTCGGCTCTCTTGCTGTCTCAAAATTCCATGACTCTCATAACAAAAAAAAAACATATATCTGGACTCAACAAATAATTTCTGGATTTTGATTTAATTTATAGCTCAAGTTGACTGGAACTGTTCTCTACAAAAATCAGGTTCAAATTTATAATCAACTCTCAAAAAACAAACTATACAGGTACTTTCTGGAAAAATGCTATGATTCTGATTCCAAACAATGAAATACTGGTTCAGGAAAAAAAAATGTACTGGACTTGTATCAAGCAACTTTTCTGTTGAACAGGACTGGACTATTTTCTGATTCAATAACCAAGAAGTCCCTGCTCGGGCGCCATTTGTAAGGGTCTTTATTCTGCGGCCCTTACTTTGACGCTCTGTTCAGGACAGGAGACTACTCTGGTATTTGACAGGGGGGATTCTCGAGCGCCAGATTTTTGATAAAGGTGATTTACTTCACCTGCTCCTCCCAACTTGGTCGGGAAGGAGGCCCACAGTAGCAACAGTGGAGAAAGGTACAGGAGGTATACCTACCTCGGTACCCACAGTATAATCCAGGGGTCAATGGTATTGAATCGACCTGGAATCAATAAGTAGCCAAGGGAGTGTAGGCTTTAATTACAAACCCTGGGTCTAGCCTGGAATACTGGTTGCTATTTCTGGTCTGGATAATTACCGGAATCAAAGCAAAATATCTCTCATGTCTTTGATATTTTAAGGTTAGGTCTGGAAAATTATTTATTCAACTATTTCATTATTTCTACCTGGAGAATCGGAAACACAGTTCTAAACGAATTAAACAGATTCAATTTCTATTTATCTTTTCCTTTCCTTCGATTTTTCTAATTTTCTAATATCGGATTTTTAGTGAGGTTAATTAATTCTATTTTTCCATTAATGTCAATAGTTCGTGAAACATAGAACACCGCCTGACGGGATACAAAGCACAGAGACACTGGTGCACCGGACTGGATTTCTCAAGGAAAAGAAGAAGAAGAGTTGTTAACTGGATTGTCAGTGTCAGTCGTCAGTCAATAATAATATTCTGCAATTTTGACAAATGAAAATATTGAAAATCACTAAATAAATTATTGAACTATTTGGAACTGAAAACAATGACAACAGAGAAGGAAATATGAAATATGCAATCACAAAGTCCGTTTATTCAATTCAGAGTTCTGGATTCTTTACACAGGTCAGGTGAGTATCGGTGTGAAAAACAACAGGAATGAAATGAGGCTATAAACAGGATGAATAACACTGGTGAAAAATATACAAACTTACATGTGTAACAGGAAATCACTATACAATACTATTTTACACTGGTTTTGAATGAACTATGAGAGCACTAAAAGATCAGCTTGAGAATCAGGAGCTTGAAGAGCAACGGAGATCAGGTAGTGTAGACTTGTCAAGAAGAGCTTAGAGAGTCCGTAATCCTTGGCTGTCTTCAGTATTTATGCACTACTTTGGCCTTGACAGAAGGACAAGTAAATCTGGAATCTCATTGGTCAAAACTCCCACCTTGTCATGGCTCATGGCCATGGCCACTAAATATGTCCTTGAAAAACATCACATGTGCACCTCCAACACAAAACGCGAAAAAAATAATATTACACCCTGAATGGGCACAGGAACAGGATCTACTACCTTTGCTTATGCTACTGAATGAATTTGGCTGGAAAATATTCAATAACAACAAAGTTATGAGCAGTCAAACTTAAAGCATTTCAACAGATGGATAATTCAAACAAATTTCATATCATAAGCAAAGGGTTGGAAAATGTGGAAGTCTTTAGGGTTGTAATGATGTTCATGAGAGTTTACTATCAGGAGAAGCTTTGTGAAGTCAGGAATCAACGCATTACCCAGCTCTCTCAGGTTTTCAGGTTTCGAGCTTTCGAACAGGTGAAATTCAACTAGAATCAGGCTCAGGTACTTAGATTTTGATCAAAGCCAGTCTAGTAATGAAGCTGGTCAAAAACACTTCATTACAAAAGTACTTGATCTAATGAACACTGCCCTCAGTGCCTCAATTTGTTTCTTCGCAGAAGGACTGTCTTTGATTATATCTAGGTGTTTATCAGATATTCCTGCCACTACTATAGCCTGAGCTTTTGCGTCTGCCTTTTTCCAGGTATCTCTTTCTGTTACTGGAGCACTTGCACTTGGTTCTTCTTCATCTAGTGCTGCCATCCAACCTTCTTTCTTGAACAGTGTTGTAATCCTGAATAACCAATTATTGAAATTATTGGCTTCTAAAACCGGCACAGTAAAGCTATTCATCTCGCTCTGTCGTTCGTAGCCTCATGCAAATGTGCACCTATCCTTAGGTTTCTTTAGGGATTGTAAAACTGTTTGCAATTTTTATTTTTCCTTCAATATCAAACTGAGCCCATAACCTATTGAAGTTAGGGATTTTATCTTGATAAAAACACAGTAGCTGCTGAGTAATTGCAAGGAATAATCACTTTATTATCTATTTCTGAAAAGACGCCATCAAAAACTTGTCTGCATTAATATTTTTTAACCTAACTGTCTAATTATTGACATATTACATTTTCATGTTTCAACACCAAGGTTTGTATATCTCACAGAACATTAACATTAGACAAAGTATCAACTCATCATGGAACGGCGAAACACTGAGATAAATTCACAATATTCCACAATTCCTAACACTAAAGACTGCACCAGATGAAACTCATTCCACTGAAAATCTGTATGGACAACTTATATAACTGATAATAGAAAAAGATTGAGGGCACAACAAGAAATTGATACCATTTTATATCAATTTATAATTGATGAATGATTCATTTACTGCTGTATTTAATATTTTGGAGGAATAAAGTACACTTACATTATTCAAAGTTCAGGAATCAAAGTTTGTTTCCTAGGTCTGTTGAATATGTTGTTTGTATAGTAATTTTGTTTTGTTTGTGTAGAATGTTTCTATTCACTGTTATGACTGATTTTGTGCTGTAGAGGAATATGAATAAAACACAATTTTGGATGATGTAGCTTTATTGAATAATCTTTAAGTAACTACAAATAATTAATATGTAAAAAAAATGTTTTTCTACTGTTGCCCCAACTTAATAATTATATTTACTCATTGCATCATTCTGCCAAGGCATCACTGCCTCTGCTGTGCTAAAATAAGCCATGAACTCTTCCCTCATTTGTTGAGCCAGCTGGGTAGATCGATTCCCTCCTTGGTGTTTCTGTAGACCCTTCATCCTCTTTAAACCATCCTCAAAAATAATATCCTCATTATAAATAGTATAAGATGTTTTCATCAGGTAATAATGCAAACAGCAACAAGTGAGTGTGATTGTTTCAACTCTATTTGAATTTGAAGTGATAGTTGTTAAAAGTATTCTAAATCTATTACTTAAAATCCCAAATGCATTCTCCACTACTCTACGAGGCAGGAATAGTCTGTAATTGAGAATGCGCTGCTCCATTGAGACATTTCTGAATGGGAATGGTTTCATCAACCTTCTTGATAGTGGAAAAGCATCATCTCCAACAATGGTATAGGAATAGAATAGAATAGAATAGAATAGAACTTTATTCACCTATGAGTAGTAAACAGATACAATAATATTATTGCACAGCCTACACTATCAGGCAGGAATATTGCGACCTGGTAGTGTTTGGTCAGGAGGAAAGTTCAATTTGTCATCATTCATTGCTCTGTGTTGTGATGTGAACTGAGCTTAACTCATATTTAGCACTTTTATGTTTTGTGTTCTGTGAACTTAACCTCACTTTGACTAGAGACGCTGAGCTGAAGGCGGAAGGTGTGCTTCCTCAGCTAGAAAATAATAAAAAATTATGTAATATATAATTACTTTGCTTTCATTACGATACCTACATTTGCTACACATTTACATACAATCTACGTACAATTACAACAGTGGCGACGAGGATGATAGAACTCTGTTAAATTTGGAGCAAACCAAAACAGTTAAACAAAACAATATGGATTTAATGTTTTACGCGCCATTTGCCTGCAATGAAGATAATGCTTGCCTTGGAATCAAGTGGAAAAAGTGGAAACGAAGTTTTGAAATATTCTTAAGTGTAAAGGTAAATGTCCACTGGTCCGTCATCCGATGTCCGATTCGCATATCGTGATAAATGTTTCAGATGGACAAAATTAACAATTTCCACTCATCCGAAATCTCAAAACTCCCGTCGTACGATCTAGTGACAAAAATAGTAAAATTTCAGTAACTTTTATGTCAAGTGTCATCTACTGACATCTCAACTGATCTCAACTCTCAGATCAATCTCAACTCAACCGGCTTAACCTAACTTATCTCTAACTAAACGAAACCAAAACTGATTCGATTTTCGGTGGTATTACGTTACTGTTTGGAATCAAATCATAAATTATTACTTAAATGAATTCCCGATTCGTGGATGATGAAATGGATGATTATTATTTGGACAATGAAGAGTATGGAGACGAACAATCTCAGGATGCTCAGGACTTGCAGGTAAGCAATAAAATTCATCGTTCTCATGAAGACTCATAACGTTTCATTTGCAGCATGAGGAAACTTTGCAGCATGAGGAAACAGAAGAAATCTCAGTGGAAGAATTCTTAATTAATTTAGTCATGGCCAGGCCCCCATTATGGGACTCGCGGTTACCTTTGAAGGATAGGAGCAAAACAATTAGGGATAATCTTTGGCTCGAAGTTTATAAAGCTTTTGGGGGTACAAAAGCTACTGTAATTTTTGCTACATGTTATTACCATGTAATATTCCAGAACAAGAACATTTGTCAGTATCAGTACTTATAAAAAAGTGGAGGAATCTCAGAGATACTTATGTACGTGTAAAAGGAGAAACAAAAAGCTATGTACCCAGTGGCAGTGCGGCAGGTAAAAAGAAAAAGAGAAAGTGGGAATATTATGATCTCATGTCATTTCTGAGTGACACCATTAAATATCGGCCGTTAGTACAAATAAGGAATAATATTTTCTCATAACAATCATAAAATGCAGTCATTATAGATAGGTACTTATAATTATTTATGTGCATTTGTTTTTTTCAATTCCAGAACAGTCAGTAACTTAAAATCAAATGTAAGCTGCAATGAAAATGATACACAAATTGAAGCAGCTGATGGTTCTAACAATGTTAATAGTGCCTCCAACAGTAACTCCACTAGATCTTCTGATACAACAAAAAATGGTGCTAGACTTAACAGAAAAGATTCAAAGAATATTGATTTGGCAATAGTGGAGGCACTAAACAGAGTCAATGCTCCAGTTCCAGTACCACCTCTACCACCACCACAATCTTCCTCGCCAAATAACAACCCAGTATGTATTACAATTTCAGAGATTTTATCAAAAATGCCATTTAGAGAAAGAAAAATATTAGAAATTCTGCTTTTACAGAAAGCATTTGATGGGGCGAAAGATTTTCTATAATAATAATTATATTTGTTATTTTTTCTTGAGAAAATAAATATATTCAAGCACCTTTTTCTGTTATTTAAATGTTGATTTTTTCTAGAGAAATCCTTCCAACAGTGGAAATATGTTATGAAAAGCCATACAAATTAAAATATTTATTCAGAGAATGAAGATACATGCCTACGAAAGTTAAACTTTATCCCATTGAAAAGGAACTGCACCTTCAAATTAAAAGTGAGGAGCTAATTGATTTCTCATTCTTTCAGTATTTTTTCCATACATATTGCTCCCAACTCGATTGACTTGTAGAAAATTTTGTGCAGTATCTTTCCTCCATTCACCATTGATAATATTACCAGTACTGTCTTCTCTATCGATCAGGGAATTAGGGCAATATCTATTCTTAGCAGTAGCTTCTGATTCAAGATTCATAAGTAAGTTATGCAAACATACTGTGGCTTTGACTATACTACACACAGTTTCTACACTTGCTACAATTCGTTTCCTATAAATTCTCCATTTCGCTGACATTATTCCAAAAACGTTCTCAATTATTCTACGTCCTCTGCTCAGCCTAAAAATATAATTTTTCTACTAAAATAACTCAAACTTGGTGTACTAGCAGTTACTTAAAAAAAATATCTGTAATTAAAAATCCTTTTACTTTGAGGCAAGAAACGACCTGGATAAGGACGCATTATGTGAGGAGTTAAAGGAAATGCCTCGTCAGCAACAATATAGTAATTGAGTGGATCACCTTCAAATTCAATGTGCAAAGGAGGTGGAAAGCCAATATTACCATTCAAAATTAACTTTCCCATATCACTGTTTCTGAATATACCACCATCACTGTGACGTCCTTCTGCTCCTACTAAGGTGAATCTATAGCTAGCATCACACAGTGCTAAGAGAACTATACTATGCTGACCTTTGTAATTGAAATATGTTGATCCTGACTTTGGAGGGGCCTAGAAGGAAATTAATATACAGGGTGTCAATTTGAAAACTTCCCACCCTCAATATCTCCCTCCAAGTCGATAATATGGAAAAACGGAAAGACAGGTCGATTTTATTTTCGAGGGGGACATGGTTCTAAAATATTTTCAGCCCCGCGGCGTTGCCGCTTCTAACGAAAAGAAGCAACAACTTTGTTATTTCAAATGGAACACCCTGTATTTTATTGCATTTTTAGATTCTCACTGAAAAGCTGATTTCATCAATGTATCACACTTGGGGTCTAGCAGGAATGATTACAGAGATATAGGGTGTTCAAAATCGAGATTTTACAACTTTAGGATTTTTTTGAGTCGAAACTATTCATTATTGGTCAAAACGGCTTTTATGTCCCTATCTCAACTTTTGATTTACTATCTACTGACATTTATTTGAAACAAATACAGGGTGGTTCAAGATTCAGACTTTTGATCACCCTGTATTTGTTTCAAATAAATGTCAGTAGATAGTAAATCAAAAGTTGAGATAGGGACATAAAAGCCGTTTTGACCAATAATAAATAGTTTCGACTCAAAAAAATCCTAAAGTTGTAAAATCTCGATTTTGAACACCCTAAATCTCTGTAATCATTCCTGCTAGACCCCAAGTGTGATGCATTGATGAAATCAGCTTTTCAGTGAGAATCTAAAAATGCAATAAAATACAGGGTGTTCCATTTGAAATAACAAAGTTGTTGCTTCTTTTCGTTAGAAGCGGCAACGCCGCGGGGCTGAAAATATTTTAGAACCATGTCCCCCTCGAAAATAAAATCGACCTGTCTTTTCGTTTTTCCATATTATCGACTTGGAGGGAGATATTGAGGGTGGGAAGTTTTCAAATTGACACCCTGTATAATTAGGATGGTGCAAAGACAAATAAACCAACATTGCCATTTCGTTGACTATTCTGATCACTAATTTCTATAATACTGATAAACTGTCACTGTCACGTTTTATTAAAGAGCAAAGTTGATTCTACTTTCTGATATTACATTACCTCAATTGCCACATGTTTCCCATCAATAGCACCTACACAATTTGGGAGATGCCATTTTTCTGAAAAACCATTAGCTATTTCCAACCATGCTTGTTCGGAGGGATTTAATAGAACCTTATCATTCAAACAGTCCCATAAGACATTACAAGTTTCCTTAATTATTTTAGACACAGTGCTAGTTTCAATACGAAAAGCATATGATATTGAAATTTGACTATCTCTGCTTGCAAGGTACCTTCAAACAAAGTACCTATATAGAGAGAAAAATTATGAAGATATACCCTGTATATTATGTAGGTACCTATATAATCATCCTATAATAAATTATTGAAAAAACCTTTGTACCTTACAGTTAAAGCAAGTCTCTCAGCTGGAGAGATGGGTTCTCGTACATGGTAAATTTTTGTGAGCGTTGGTCCAACAATATGTAATAGTTTATTGAATGTGCGACTGCTCATTCTCAAAAAGATGAAGTACTGATCACTATCAGACAATCGCATTTCTTATACTAAATTATTGAACATTCCTTGAGTCGTCCTTTTTTTTAAAATATCTTTCACCCAATATCTTGGTGGATTTCTCTTTCTTTTCTTTCTTTTCAGCAGAATAATCGAAATAATCAACAAATTGTTCACTTTTAGTAGTTTATCACTAGACATTCTTGAATTACTTGTAAACAAATTGTCAAATATTTAGATGACGGACCAAAGTTGAAATAATTTCAACTTTTCTCCGACAACGGAACAAATGTTTCCCGCTATAATATTTCCACCAATCACATTACGTTCGTACAATCGTATCGTCGGATGACGGACCAGTGGACATTTACCTTAGGGCTTTCGAAGCTACAGAGTTCCTTTTGCATTACAAGATAGGGTGTTAGATGAGCTAAATTAATTGATAGAACAAGGTACTTTAGAACCTGTCAATACTAGCCAGTGGGCAAGTGCTGTAGTTCCAGTCATTAAATCAAATGAGAGAACTCGTATATGTGGGGATTACAAACCCACCCTGAATCCAAATTTGATTGTTGATGACTATCCATTACCATTTTTTGATGAACTTTTTTCTAATATGGCTGGTGGGCAAAAATTTTCTAAAATTGATATTACACAGGCTTATCTACATCTAGAAATACATCCTGATGATAGGGAACTACTTACATCAAATACTATCAAAGAATTGTTAAAGCCAACTCGTTTGATGTATGGGGTTGCATCTGCACCTGCCATTTAGCAGAAAACAATAGAAACCATTTTACAGGACATAGAGGGAGTGGCAGTATTTTTCGATGATGTAAAAATGACAGCTCCCAATGATAACGTACATTTAGAAAGATAACGTCAAATTTTTTATAGATTTCTCGAACATAATGTCAGAATTAATTTCGAAAAAAGTTCGTTTATGACCGATAAAATTGAATATTGTGGTTACGTTATTACTAAATTAATAGGTGTACAAAAAGCTCAGGAGAAGATTGAAAGTATACAAAGCATGCCAAGACCCAAAAATCAAGATGAATTGCGTGTATTCCTGGGTTCAGTAAACCATTATGGTAGATTTTTCAAAAATTTAAGTTCTGTAACTTTTCCTTTAAATAGATTATTACATAATGATATTCAATGGGATTGGAATGAGCAGTGTGAAAAATCATTTAATTATATCAAAGAAAAAATGGGTTCCGACACAATTTTGACACATTTCAACCCCAAACTACCTCTGGTTCTTGCCACTGACAGTAGTTCAGTAGACAAGCGTCTACAAACACCAAAAGCTCTCTGAATCCGACGATGTCCGATCACCTTCGGATCATTTTCGGATCATTCGCAGCTGCCTTTCACGCGTGTCGCGTGTTTGATTTTCACCCAGCTACTTCTTATTATTTGTGGTTATGTACAGTGAGGATAATAATAGGTCGCGTGCACGATGACCGACCCTGGAGGCAAAATATTGAAACACAACCTCATTCTTCACTGAATTATTGAAATACAACCTCACTTTTTTATTTGGTTACAGAGGAATCATAGGATTGAAATAGTTTTTCACAATATTTTGGCATAGGAATCGTGTTTTTTGCGCTATTCATTAATTCGAGCATGCCTTCGCATTGTGCTGTTGTACAATGCACAAAAAATGCAGCAAGAGACTAAAGAATATGATTTTTAAGTTAAATAGTAATCTCATATAGTTATCAATATGAAATGTTGTCATTCCTTATTAAAATTCCTTCTGCCTTCTGCCACTTCTGCAATACAAGCTATAATACTGCTAATAGATTGAAAATGTCTAAAACACACACGAACGTCAGCATGGAAGGAATTCGGAGAGAAATCAGAGAAATTACCAAATTTCAAAAATGAAAACTATATGTGAGTGACTATAGTAAGTATACTTACTTTTAAATCATATTGTACCAACCGGATTACTTCGCCTTCCGCTGCAGTTTTTGTGCATTTCACAACAGCATAATGTGATGGCATGAGCGAATTAATGAATAGCGGAAAAATACGATTCGTATGCCAAAATAATTGTGAAAAACTATTTCGATCACTTGTAAACAAATAAGAAAAGTGACGTTCTATTTCAATGTTTTGCCTCCAGCGTCGGTTATCTGACAGTTCTTGCACGCAACCCATATAACAGTATTTTCTCCCAAAAGGTTATATAAAGCACGACAACTCTATGTCAGGAGCACTTGGGCATGGATCTAAATCTAAAGATGTGTCACCTGTTATTGTCAATTTATTGGACGCCACTGAATTTTATTTAATCAGAAAATTTCAGAAAAACTTGAGCTAGAATTTGAATGATATTCACTGCAAGTGAGCTGAGAGATAGTCAATGAAATGAAACAAGATTTCCAATTTCAGACGAACAGTTATTAGACACTTGATCTGCTCTGAACCATATAAAAT